AGATTTTTTTCTTTAAATTTATGGTGGGAAATGGACTCCCAGTTAAAAATTAACCATGTTGTTCAGGGTTTAGATTCAGATAATTTCCAGTATCAGTCTACAGAAATATAAAATCAATGGATTAATGAACATGTGTCTATTGGGTATGACAAATATCATTCTCCACTTTCATTTCAGGATTCTCTGCAAACTATGCTAATTTGATAAATAATAAAACAGGGATTGAATTATGAAATACACGGTAGAAGGATCTGGTGTCACCCATAAATAGTTCTCATTCCTGAGCACATGGGAGAACTAAACTTCTCAGCCCTCTTGCAGTTAGGTAGGACCGTGTGACTAGTTCTAGCCAATGAAATGAGATCAGGAGTGACATGTATCACTTCCAGGTCTAAGTATTTACAAGTCAGTGTGCCATCTTCATGATCTCTCTTCCCCAGCTGCGGTGACCCTGGAAGCCACATATAGAGATGATAATGTCATAAGATGGAGAAAATCTCGATTCCTGAGTCATTAATTGGAAGAGAGGTCTGCAGACACGTATCAGGATTATTATTAGCAAGAAATAAACTTTTAGTGTATTGAATCACTGAGATCTTGGTGTTCCTTTATTTCTACAGCTAGATAGACTAATATTAACTGACTTGTACAAAATCATAATACAGAATAAGCAAATTCTTCCTTCTACTTTGATTCTTATTATGACAACATATGTATAATTTTTCTATAAAAATTCTTTCTTCCATCTCTTAAGTTTTAGGTGTTTCCTAAAACCATTCCAGGTGTTATTACCACCCTGATTTATATTTATCAACTATACTCGTTGCTTATTAGCTGTGTGACCTTTGGCCAAGCTTCTTAACCTCTCTGAACCTCTGTCTTTTCATCTGTAAAATGGAAAAAATAACACCTTCTTTGCAGAGTTGTAGTAAGGATCAGAAATAAAAAGTCTAAGCCACAGTGCCTGGCACAGAGTACTACTCAAGAGATGGCAGCAATCATTATTTCTCTTTGCAGATATAGACAGATAATAAGTTTCTAGAGGACAGAAACCAAGGCATGCCTCTTTCTGTCCTCTACTCCCACATCTAACACAGTGCCTAACACCCATATAAATAAACAAATATTTACCAAGTGTTATTACCAAGAGGATGTACAACAAAATATTAAAGCAATAGCTAAAATCAATCTATTAAAGAATTATTTTAATGCTACCACTGTCTTAAAAAATCCCAACCTAGGGGCTGGCCCGGTGGCGTAGCCATTAAGTTCACGCACTCCACTTCAGCAGCCCGGGGTTCGCCAGTTTGGATCCAGGCCGCAGACCTACTCATCACTCATCAAGACATGCAGAGGTGGCGTCCCACATAGCACAACTAGAAGGATGCGCAATTATGACACACAACTATCTACTGGGGCTTTGGGGGGAAAAAAGGAAAAAAGGAGGAAGATTGGCAACAGATGTTAGCTCAGGGAAAATCTTCCTCAAAAAAAATTCCCAACCTGAGTTGAATCAAACTGCTCCCTTCTCTGATACCACTACACACACACACACACACACACACACAGAGGAATCAGTCTCTAATAGCAAACGAAACTTGCTAATTCAACAAGGGTCCTAGACATTTTAATAGTTTGCTTAAAAGAAGTACTAAATTTTAGACAAATTTTCTTTAGTGAAATTTACTTGGTGAAATTACTCTGTACTCACCTAATCTTATAACCAGTTGGCAATGCCATGGCTGTAGATCATTCCATTTAATTTACATCAGATTGAAATACAATATGCAATGTAAATACTGATTTCCAAGACTAGGAGAGCAGCTAAACCAAATTCAGTGGGAATAATCTTCACATTCAGTTTCTGGTAAGTTACCTTCTCAGCCACTTCAAAATAAAACCCAAAATACAATAGCTTCCTTTCCACAAGCCTCTTTATCTACAACACAAATACAACTGATAACACATCCCCCAAATAGCATGACGGTTCTGTTGACATTGGACCACATCCATGGACACTTCTGTGACTAATGTAATATTTATACACCTGTGAGAAAAACATCGATGGCAACACTGTAGTGAAAAAGCATGTACCTGATATTCCCATGTGGAATGATCTGGTTTTCCTACAGAAGCACCCCAACTGCTTGAGGACAAATCACATATTCAACAATACCAAAAACCCTACGAGATCCCTTGCTTAGTTTAAACAAAAAAAAAAGAAGTTTGTTAACTATTTTGAGCAATACCGCACAGGAAGCAAGGAAGCTAACTTTAACACTATATTTTTATCACAAGGACATTGAAAGTTTGATTATAAAGCTACCAGAACTCAAGAAATATGGTAGCCTCTTAAGGGCAGGGAATTTATCATGTCTCGCTCTGCTCCTTCCCCAATTTCTTAGCATACAGCAGGCACTCAGGAATGACTGGGGCCAGGAGCAGAAGAGTAGCTAGTGCCACTCGTCTCCCCTAACTCCCTACCAACGCTGCAGAGAGCTGGTCCCGTTTGTTCCTCTTCTCCCCATCCAACAGATAAGGAATATCTAATGACATAGATAAAAACACTCAGCTCTAAAAAAAAAGTTTGGGTGAGTCACTGTGTTAAGCAATGGAATCACTGAGATCAGAAGGCCCCATAGTCTTCTCTGAGAGTACAGAGGTACTGGCTAAGGATGTAGGTCCCGGAGGCAGACAGTTTGTGATGAGTCTCATCTCTGCCACTTACTGCAGTATGACCATGGGCATACTTGTGTTCTCTGTGCCTTAGTTTCTTCATTTGGAAAATAGAGAAGACAATAATAGTAGCTGCTTCTTAGGGGTTCTGTGAGGATTAAATGACTGTATATCACTTAAAATGACGCTCAGCACATAGTAGTGCTCATCAAATGTTTAGTATTTTTAAACTTAGGGATGCAATCTCAACTCCAGGTAGCCACATTTCGTCCCAATGGCAACTAAAGGGGCAGCAGACTGCAAGTATTTGGCATGCTGCCACCACACTAACTTCTCTTGAAGAAATTATAAACCACAAATTTTCCCCTTCTGCCATTGTTTTCTATTGACCCAGGTGGACTGAAAATTGGGAGGCCAATGACCATCATCTCAAATGCAGAGGCACTGCTCCTAAATGTTGAAGAAGCTGACCTGAACTAATAAAAAAAAAATGCATTATATATTCTGGGTTAAAAATTGGAGAGGTGATCCACAATTACACCAGTTCTATAAAGATCTCAAGGCAATTTAACAGAGACAAATTGTCTTTTCAACAAATGGTGCTGGAACAACTGGATGTCAATGTGGAAAAAAAACCAGACCTCAACCCTTCCCTTATGCCATATGTAAAAATTACCTCAAAATGGATCATAAACCTACATGTACAAGGTAAAACTATTAAAAGTCTAGGGAAAAAAAAAACAACAAGAGAAAATCTTTGTGACATTGGGTTAGGCCAAGACTTGTTGAACAGCATATCAAAAGTACAAACTATAAAAGAAAAAATTGATCAAGCGGACTTCCTCGAGATTAAATACTGTTGCACTTTGAAAGATATAGTCAAGAAAACAAAAAGGCTACCAGACTGTAAAACATATAACTGACTTCTCATTATTTAAAGAACTCTTACAATTTAAGAAAATGAAGACAAACAACCCAATTTAAAAAGTGGACAAAATATTTGAATGGACATTTCACAAAAGAAGTTATAGGAGTGGCCAAATAAGCACATGAAATGATGTTCAACATCATAGACATCAGAGAAATGTGTATTCAAAGCACAACGAAACACCATCACATATCCACTAAAACAGCTAACGTTAAAAAGACTGACAATCCATGTTTGGGTGAGAATCCTCATATTTTGCTGGTGGGAATAAAAATGGTACAGCCACCTTAAAACACTGTACACAGTACCTTATAAAGTTACACAGACATTTACCAGATGACCCAGCAATTCTAGTCCTAGGTGTTTACCCAAGAGGAAGGAAAGCATATGTCCACAGTAAATCATACACATGAATGTTCACAGCAGCACTATTCATAATTGCCCCAAACAGGAAGCAACCAATCGTCAACTGGTGAACAGATAAACACATTGTGATATATGCTTACCATGGAACGCTATTCAGCAATGTGAAAGAACAATTAATACAAGCAACAAAATAAGTGAATTTCAAAAATATTAGGCCAAGCAAAAGAAGACAACATAGAAGACTATATACTCTATCATTCTATTTGTGACATTTTAGAAAAAGCAAAACTATAGTGACTGAAGGCAGATTAGTGCTTGCCAAGAGCAAGGGAGAGGAGAGGGCTTCAAGTGCAGGGGGCTCAAGGAAACTCTTAGGGTGAAGGAACTTTCTATTGATTCTGAGGTTGATTACACAATCATATACAATTACCAAAATTTTCAAACTGTGCACTTCAAACGTGTGAATTTAAAACAAATAAGCAAGCAACGATCATGTTCCTGTAAATTCTACGGGCACATGAGAAGAATATGTGGTCTCTATTTGTAAGGTATAAAGTACACACACATATACACACTTGATTATTGATAACACAAATTCTTTTTTGAGTATCCAATCAGACTAGTTCTTAAAGAGTTATATTTTAAAAAAGAATGGACATGCAACTCGTCAGCTACCATTTGGAAGGTTATAAACTGGAAGAGATCAAGGTGAAAACTTTACAAAGTAGGAAGTTTCCACACAAGCATCTCTTCATTTCTCATAAATATTTAATTTTAAGACTAAAACTAAAACAAAGAAAGGAATCTGTCATCTAAGAGTCAAGAAAAATAGAAATATTCCTCCACACACATAGACCAATGGTTTATTAAAACCTGCTTATAGAGAAAGGTACAAACATCATTTTTTAAAAAACCCTAGACTTGCAATTTAATTCATTTATCCCACTTAAAAAGCAAATAGCGAAAAAAAAAATTAGCTGGGGGTTCTGGGTTTGGGTTCCAGCTGCTGAGGAAAGAGCGAGGGGCTCACCTCTGCGGCTCCGTCCTTGAAGCTCTCGCTGTAGGTGCTGTCCGGGGTGCTGCGCTGGTCATCCTTGAGGTAGGTGCTATGGCCCGCCATGGAGGGCACGCCATACTGAGTCTGTTCAAAGATAACCACGCGCTGCTCCTCACCGTCTCCCCGGGGATAGTGCACCGGCGGGGCCATGAAGACCGGTGTGAAGTCTTCAGCTTTCACCACCGTGATTCCCGACACAGGGACGACAGCTGCGCTCTCGGGGACATTCGTGCTGTACTGTTCCCGTTTTGAATTCTCCAGGTGGTCTTGATTTAGGGAAAGGTTCACGGGAACAGTCTTTAGGACCTGCACTCGGTTTTCTCCTCCGCTCAAATTACTCTGGGCTTCGCTGGTGCCAAGACAGTTTCTGTGTGTTTAAACCCGCCCCCGCAACATGATAGAATTAGAAAAATCACCATTTTGCAACTCCTAATAAAATAACTGATGCAGGAAATAATCAGTGGATGCTAATACCATTAGGGAAAAAGTTGATGGCGAACTTTTCAATGGAATGCAATGGATCTTTACATGACCAGCTGTAGGACAACTACTCACCTGTGCCTCCTGGTATCATGCAGTCAGCCCCACCTACAAAGAGTTATTGTGAAAAAGAAAAAACACTGACCCTAAATCTCAGAAACCTTCATAGCTAACTTACAGCTCTCAGAAATACAGGAGCTGAAAGAACGACTTAACATCAAAAAGAAACAGTCATACAGACCAGAATGTAGCGCATCTTACTGACCTGCTTTCTTCAATAAGTCAGAGGCGTGAAAAAAGAAAGAAGACTGGGGGCTTGCTCTAGATTAAGAGATTTAGAAGACATAACAATCAAATATCACGAGTAGATCTTGTTTGGCTCCTGATCTGAAAAACCGAAGAGGCATTTATGAGGCAATGGGATTTTTGAGGTGATTGACTATGGACTGGGGGTTAGGTACTATTAAGGAAGTACTGTTCATTTAGTTAGGTGTGATAATCATTTTGAGATTATGTAGTAAAATGTCCTTGTTGATTTAGATACAAATCAGAAGTAGTTAGAGGTGAAATGACATGATGTCAGGGAGTTATTCTAAATGCAACTGCAATAAAAAAAGGAAAGACGGGAAAGAGAGACAAAGTAGGGATTAAGCAGATGTAACAAACAGTCATCGCTGGTGAACCTGGAGGACGGGATGGGTATTGGGAGGTTCATTATTCTATCCTCTTGTGGATATGCTTGAAAGCTTTCAAAAGAAAAAGTTTTAATATAACTTTTAAAAAAGGCGGGAGCAGGATAATAATTTAAAAGGAGGGAGTGGGAAAGATATTTTTCACTGCTCTGGGGGCTCAACTCCTTGCAGGAAATATAAGATAATAAGAGTTTATCATTAAACTATTTTCACTAAATTGAGAAATACCATGAGCTCATTGATATCCTTAGCACTGATTTACTTCCAGGGCTTAAGAAAGTGGTGTAATTGGGCTTATGTAAAACCAGGTCTCTCAGATCTCAGACCTCCCGGCTGGTACAAAGAAAACAGAGAGGATTTAAAAAATTAATTCTTGCCGGGCTAGGATGAAATACTTTCATTTACACTATAGAATTCCGGGACAGAGCAGAAGCAAAGAGAATCTCGTTCATGAAAGAGTATTGTTGATAGCAAAATGATTTCACTAGCCAAGTCCCTGTGGTTAGTAAAATTTGGGGCCACCTCTCACTTATTTATGAATTATTCTGAATGATATAGAGAGAAAATACATGTTTTGCAAGGAGCCCTGTCTTCTATGTCTACTTTTTTAAAACTAGCATGTGTTTCTGGGGATTCTTGGCATCTCTCATCGAGAGAAATATTTGAATAAAATTGGTTCTTCCAAGAATTGAGCTCTGCTGGCTCCTCTTTGTAAGGGAAGTCCATTAGCCTCTGAGCTTGCCTAACTCACAAGCACGACTTGGTATTTTTAGCTTTGATTTTTCAGATAAAACTTCAAAGTGAAGCTTGAGGAAAGAATGGCTCCACATGAACAAAGCCAACAGAAAAAAATATCTAAACTTCTCTGAGGCTGTCACAGATCTGTAGAAATCATTCTAGAAAATAATCCATATAAAATCGCAAGTCTACCAACATTTTGGCTTTAAATAATAACCAGCTCTCATGGACAAATCAAAACAGTGAACCTGTACATAAGACACAGTGAAAATTTAGATATTATGTTTAATCGAAATCCAGTTAGCTGGATAATGCCAACGTCCAGACCACACATTTATATCAGCATTTCCTGAACTTCATTGTTTAGAACATTGCATGGAATGTTAATAGATGTTCCTCAAAGAAAGGAGTTCATGATAAAATCAGTATTACAAAAACCGTTGCCATAACAAGACCACCCTGGGTGGGTCACAAACATCACGAACACAGTAAAGGCCCCCAGGTGCTCCCTCACCTGTTTAAGTGTAAGCCAGAATTTCCCAAACTCATTTGCCCCAGACCCTTTTGCGGAGGATTAGCCATTAATACTTGTGTATAATGTCCTGCAAGTTGGGTGTAGAAGGCTTGGTCTACACTTATTAGCTACCAAAGCAATTATTCAGTTTCTGCTCCTCTGGGCTTTGCACAAGCACAGACTTATGGGCTTTGCCAAAATATTCAAAATTAACCAACTCCTCTATAGTTGAGTTCATTTCAGGCCAAATTTCTTAATTTTTTAATTCATGCAAAACACAAGAATTTTAAACAAAAATCACAAGTCAAAATATTTTGGGCCTTCTTATAAACGAACAAATAAATAAGCAAACTATAGAGTTGTATAAATCTAGTCGAATCGTTATTACCATATGATAAGGTAATAATAGACTCAGCACCATCCTGTAATGTGTAACTATGCCTCTGTGGAACAGCATTAGCTTTAGAAGCTGATGCCAGAGAGCCTCAGAAAGGCATCCAAGAAATGGATGATTAGAACAAAGTAACAATTATTGTGAGATACCGACTCACCTGCAATAGAATTTAAAATTGAACCAAATATTATAATATAAGAAAAAATGCAATGCTAAGAATGGTACATGAAATATACTTTTTTAAAAACTTGGATAATATCACTGAGATTCTGTTATCTTTCCAAGTACCAACTTCTGCATACAAACAGTTGTAATGATGTCATGTTAGCACATGGCACCTTAATTCGTGAATACACTGCAGATCAAATGATATCCTTCCAACTTACATCCAACCAGAAGTCTACTAAGTCATAATTATTCTATAAAAGGTGGTTTCGTCTATACCTCACTGCCAGTTTTTTTTTTAAGGTGTTCCATTGAAATCACAAAAATAACCATTAAAATACAATGAGTGGCTGACACTCTTTAATGTTGTTCTAAAAGATACTTTAACAAAAAATAACCTCTCTTGTCTATGAGGATGCACACCGAGCACACATCTTAGACTTGGTTTTCCCTGACCACTCTGTGATTACTGGGATAGGTCTCAGCAGACAGCACATGCTTAGCTTAACAAATACTGGCTGGATGGAGGAAAAGTTACCGGACCTGAAGAGGGTCAGCCTCTCTCTCCCTGTCATCACTGCTGCCAACTATGGCCCAGAGCCCCAGGGCAGCCGGGAGCATCAGAAAATCCCTGAGGAGTTGCAATCAGATGCAGACAGCTTTAATCTTCTCCTGGGGGTGTACCTTGGAGGTGACACACAGCAAAGGGCTGCTGGCTAGTGGTGTGGCCTTCACTGCTAGTCACATAACAAGATCATAATGTCACAAGCAGTTCCTATCAAGACCAGGTAGGATTCTGCATATGTGCTAACAGGAGATTTCATTTCTCACGGCTTCATATTTCCACGTGAAAAAATCTGTAGCAAAAAAGCATTGGATATGGCTTCTCCATCCCTCTGCGGGGGAACAGACGTATTTGATTGGTGAGTTTGGGAGAAGTAGCTAAGCAAGGTGGTTCAGTCCCTTCTGGTACCCTCTTTATGTCTAGGTCATCTTGGCCAAAGAGAGGGGACACTGGAGTCACCCTTGCCATGCCATGAGTGGCCTGTCCCTTCAGGGAGGCTTAAAGTCCTGCCTGGGACTGGAGGAGTAGATGTATCTAAGTCAGAACTGAAATGTTACAAACTATGGATTCAAAATCACATTCTCTAATTGGCTTTATCAGAAATAAAACTGATTCTCATTTTTTTCCTTTTTAATGTCAATCTGTCTGACTGTGTCTTGTTTTTCAATTGGTTCTTAACTCAGGATTGCAGGAAACAGGTGTTACATAATGATCTCCTAGCATCTTCCCTGCCCCTGCACCCTGACAGTGTTACTGCTACCCATGGCTCTCCCCCAGCTGCTTCCTTGGGCTGAGAAACAGCCCAACCCCTTCCTCTCCCCTCATTGAAATCGAGCTTCAAGTGTCTCACTCCCTCAAGGGCCTGGTCGCAGTTATACAGACATGGGATTGACAGACACGTTCACCCCAGCAGTGGGCTACTTTGCCAGCATATCACCTCTAACTCTTGGGATTTTTCAGCCTCCTTGGAATGAGGGTATCAGAAGAGCCTGCTGATGACCCTTGGGTGCACAACCAAAAAATGCAATTTGCTCTCCCTACTGAGATCCGGTTTTGGTCCAGACTCCAAAAAGACAGATATAGGAGGCTAAGCCTCTTGACCCCATCTCTTCACATGAACAAAATTTATAGTTTAATACTGTTTTAAAAAAACATAGAAAAATTTATTTTTGGAGCCAGGCATATTCTTTTACATAACATCATACCTTTTATCCTGGTCGTCTTGGCTGTCATTTGCTTTGCTTACAGACAGCAGCCTCTTGTCTCGAGGAACCTGGAAATATCACCAACCATCAGTCAGACTTACACAGATGCAACCATGACCGTGTCCTGAGCTAGACGCCAGCATGAACAAAGAAACTGAAATGAAACATTCTCCGGGAGAGGTAGCAGATTTGCTATAGCCAGGAGATGGTTAAAGGTGGGTAGCCCAAGTGGCAATGACAGGGGACTAGACACTAAAGGGTGATGATAAACACAGGGCTATACCAATCCTGATTCTGCTGTGCACTGCTAACTTGGGCACCTCTCTCTGGATCTGAGCACCTCCCGAGCCCTCCCCACCTTGGAAGTGGATGAGGGGAAAGGAGCACCGCGTGTGGAGGGTGACATCCATGTCCTTGAGCAGACAGAAAACATCTTGGAGTTACAACAAGCATCTTCTTAAGGAACAGGGACTGACCCTCCACTGATGAGGGTCTTCAGATGCTGACCTGGAGGGGAGCAAACTGGGCCTGGGGCTGCACTGTCCAATGGGGGAGCAGCATTTAATACTCCTGGACCACCCTTTCCCTACCCTCCCTACATAGCTGGCAGACTTGCTTCCTCAAATTTTCTTCTAATGCACTTTTATTATTGTCTTGACAACCAGAATGCCAACATATTGCCTGAAAGATTATTGAAAAAGTGCTACTTGAGAGAAGGGACACCTCCACCGGTGGCATTTCTCACCATCATCTCATTGCCCTCCTGCATCATGCATCATTTACAAATCTCTGCCATAGTTTTAAAACATGTGAGTAGTAGGTTTGGATTTGTTTGGTTGGTTGGATGATTTTTGTTTTTTTTGTTTTGTTTTGTTTTGTTTTGTTTTGCTAGATCTCCAGATCTTCCTTCTAGCCAAATCTTTTGCATCCAAAATACAATCTGCACTATTTTGACATAAAAGAGCATTATGAGAAGAATTTGTCTTCTGGATTCCTCTAGCCATTCTTATGGTTTCCACTCACCTAATATATATGCAAGCCCAGTCAGCAGATGATGGAGGCAAAATAGCAGGGTGGCTAAGAGTCGAGACCTAGACCAGATTGTCTGGGTTCAAATCTCAGCTCTACCACTAACTAAACTCTGCCTCACTTTCCTCATCTGTAAAATGGGCATAATGATAGTCCTATACTTCACAGGGGTTTTAGTAAAATTAAATGAGTTAATTTTTTTAAAGCACTTAGAGTGTCTGGTACTTTTTAAGTATTTGTTAAATAAAATAAATCAATTGTAAGTCTTTCATCAAATGTCAATTTTGAGGGTCTACAATGTACCAGGCACTGCTATGTGTTAGATATAAATGAGATGAATAAAACACAGGTGACAGATAAACACAGAATTTCAATATATAGTACACCAATGTTCATAGCAGCATTGTTCACAACAGCCAAAAGGTAGAAACAAGCCAAATGTCCATCTATAGATGAATGAATAAACAAAATGTGATATATACATACAATGGAATATAATTCAGCCTTAAAAATGAAGTTCTGACACATGCTGTAATAGGAATGAACCTTGAAGATGTTATGCTAAGTCCCATGTGACTCAATCTGTCCGCTTCCCTCTGGAAGCCCACCTCCTGGTCCAGCCTTCATCTCGTGCCTGGGCTGCTGTATCAGCCCCCTAACTGGTCTCTCCTCTCCTTCACTTAGTCCCTGCAAATCCATGCTGGATCCATTAAGAAGATCCATACAGGTCTGATCCCCTTAGGCTGTTACTTAAAACTCTTGAAGGAACATAGCCTCCAAAAAGTCTCCCGCCTCAACTTGGGTGGTCCCCATCACTGCTGTGCATACAGTCACACTGTATCTCTGACTTGCAATGCTTCTTCTCACAGCAGAGCCATCACACAAAGTCCTCTCTGCCTGAAATGCACCCCACTTCCCCACCCCACCCTACCCATGCTTCTCCAGGGTAACTCATGAGCATACTTCAAGTCCCATCTCAATGTCCACATCTGTGATTAGACTACAATCTCCATGAGTATCTACCTTGTGCTTGGTTATGTCCCAAGTACCTAGAATGTAGCAGGCCCTCACTACACACTTGTTGAAAGAATGAATCAATCAATCAAAATGGCCCAGAAGAAGCAGAAACAAAGCAGTAGAAGAAATAGGGATTCCAAACACTAACACGTTAGCAACCCATAGAAGTCAACGTTTACTGGGGCCAAGACGCACCAATGCGATGTGCGCTCTGAGCAGACTACGCAGTCTACAGGGTTGGGCCCATGCAACAAAAGTGGTTATTAACCTTTGGTTTTGCTTCCATCTGGGCCATTCTGAACCATGTTTACCTTCGGCCCTGTAAAGACTGTCCTTCTTAGAGAAACTGAGACCTCTGAGCTCAGGCCCCTCTCCTGAGTCTAGACCCACATTACTGTCTGTCAGACATCCCTACCTGGACATCCTACAGGCACATCAAATTCAACATACGGTTATCTTTCTCCCCAAAGTCTTTCTTCTGTACTGCCTGCCTTGGTTAATCAGAGAACCATCTTAGACATCTTGCTCCTAGTTATGGGGTCCCCCCACCAACTCATACACACAAACATACACAATCAGTTGCCAGCTTTTATTCAAACAAATACTTAATGATTTCCTGAATACACTGCTTTGTCTCTATTTAGTGTCTATTTCAGTGGCTGACCTAGGGAGAACCTTACAAATACTGACCCAGGGAACCCTCACCACAATCTCTTACTTCAGGTCTTAATCATTTTTTATCTGGACTATTGCAGCGGACTGCTCCCTGGATTCTCTGCCCACTACCCACCTCTCTGCTGCTGCTGCTGCTGTAATATGTGTAAATCATTTCTCCAATTTACCAGGCTTATGTTCAAAATCCTTCAGCATTGGAGGAAAGGATACCAAATAGTATGATAGGACATTTCATTTTCTTCTTTAAGTTTTCCTGCATTTTCTATAATGTATATGTATAAGCTTAAAATAAAAAGTTGATTTTCTTTTAAAATTTCGACAGCTTATGAATATTTATTAAGTCACTTATTCACTCATACATCCAGCAAAAACAAGGCCATGTACCTCGCCCTGGACGCCCTTTGGGTGAATAAAGCCCAGCCCTCGAGCCTGGCCTCTTCTGAGGGAGCCACTGCCTTCCTGACCGCCCATCCCCTTCACTCACCCCCCACAGTGCAGCAACACAGCAAGACTGATGACTTGCATTCCACTGAGTGCAACCTGGGGTTTGATACCCCATGTTTTCTCATCTCCTGTTTCTTTTGCCTAGAAGGTTCTCTCTTCATCTCTCTACCAGACAAACCCTCCTTTGCTTCCCAGTAGAGCTGGCATTGCTTCCTCTGGAAGCCTGAGCTCTCTAGGAAGCTGTCACACTCTGCTCACTGCTCCTGGAGCACACCCCTTTTACAGCACTTACCACAAAGTGGTTATAGGTTTACAGAACTGGGTCGTTGATGGACTGTGACCCCTCTGAGGTCTTAAACTGGGTCCCATCTGCCTTTGGGTGTCCAATCCACCCCTATAATATCTATCAACATTGCTGGAAGGTCATAGCTAAGTAGTGAATATTTGTTGGATGGATGGATAGATAAATAGATGGCTTTATGGATAGAGAAACAAACAAACTGGCACAAACTGGCTTCCAGGAGTACCAGGTCAACAGAACAGATAGGAACCAACCAGCCAGGGAAGCACATTTTCACTAGAGCTGGAATCAAGTGATTATGAACCACCAGCACCCTCAGGGGAAAAATAAAGTAAGATGAAGTAAATCAAACCACTTTAAAAAAATAACATATAAAATAAAAATAACTAATGGAGTCTGGCATGTTTTTCTGTCCTGCCTGAAACTCATAAAAATGTCACACTTGACTTTGGAGCTGCTATTGGTAAATAGCTTGAACTGGATAGAAAACTGGGCTGGCATTTGAGCCCCTAAATTATAAGAGATGCCAGCAGTTGGGTTATTTTTATAATAGATACCGTCTAAGTAGCTTCAAATGTGTGTATATATAGTGTGTGTGCGTGCATGTGTGTGTGTGTGTGTGTGAGGAAGATCAGCCCTGAGCTAATATCCGATGCCCATCCCCTCTTTTTGCTGAGGAAGATTGGCCCTGGGCTAACATCCGTGCCCATCTTCCTCTAGTTTATACGGGACGCCGCCACAGCATGGCTTGACAAGCGGTGCGTCGGTGCGCGTCTGGGATCCGAACCATGAATCATGGACCGCCAAAGCAGATCGCGCGCACTTAACTGCTGCGCCACCAGTCTGGCCCCTTCAAATGTCTACTTTAAAAACTTGAACCCATTTTCAAATGGGTTCAAGAAAAGGCATTTTTTTAATGATGGATAGTGTTATGGACTGAATTGTGACCCCAAGGTTCCTATGTTGAAGCCCTAACCCCCAGTGTGACTGTATCTAAAGACAGTACCTTTAACGAGGTGATTAAGGTTAAATGAGGTCATAAGGGTGGGGCTCCACTCTAATAAGACTGATGTCCTTATAAGAAGAAGAAGAAGAGGGGCCGGCCCCGTGGCTTAGTGGTTAAGTGCACGTGCTCCACTGCTGGCGGCCCCGGGGTTCGGAGCCTGGGTGCGCACCGACACACCACTTCTCTGGCCATGCTGAGGCCGCGTCCCACATACAGCAACTAGAAGGATGTGCAGCTATGACATACAACTATCTACTGGGGCTTTGGGGGAAAAAATAAATAAATAAATAAAATTTTAAAAAAAGAAGAAGAAGAAGAGATACCAAGAGTACATACACACAAAGGACACATGAGGACACAGTGAGAAGGCAGCCATCTGCAAGCCAGGAAGGAAGAGATGCCTCACCAGAAACCAACCCTGCCGGCACCTTGATCTTGGACTTCCAGCCTCCAGAACTGGGAGAAAACAAATTTCTGCTGTTGAAGCCCCCGAGTCTGCGGTATTCTATTGTGGCAGCCTGAGCAGACTAAGACAGTGTAAGGAAGCAGATATTAGGAAATGTACAGGATTGTCCTACTTGAGTAAGTCCCACTTAGTTGCCTGAACTATAAAATAGAAAACCTGACGGGCTTCACTGCAGTGATCCTATGGTGACAGTTTAAAGACGTAGGTGAAAGACTTTGCAATGTATAACGTGTTATACCGAGTGTGCCTTTGAGTTTCCAGGGACAGGAACCTCCGTTTCTTGAGCACCCACCGTGTGTCACACACACTCCTCTCTCTGACAAAGCCCGCTACCGTCCCCTGAGGGCGGTGCTTTCTAACCTTAGGAGCGAGGAAAAATGGTGTATTTTACAAAAAGAATCAATTATTGCTTACAAAGAGGTATAAAAAGTCTATAGAACTAAAGGAATAAGGAGGCAGCAATTGTTACAATAATTTAACTTCCCAAAGTTTATACTCAAACAATAGAACCGGTTTTTTACCATACCATTAGCATTTTACTTTACTACAGAAAGAAGGCCCATCCTCAGAGTAGATTGAACTCTGTTATAACTTGAATACTGGCATATATAAGCTGTGAACATCAGAGGGCTGACTAAGGCCTGAGAATGATCATTTGGACACAGAGTTTTGGAAACAAGACTAATTCTTTCCATAGACACTAAAATGTTTCAAGCAAAAATATAGTAAAGCTCGTGTAAAATAAAAGGAGCCATGTGACTCTACTGGCCCACATAGTCTTAGAAAATATTTTATTTAAATATTTTATATCCTAAATTAATAAATTAATCATGGAAAATGTTAATTCAACAGAAAGTTATAGACTTGGCTACAACTTGAGTTTTATGTAAACTCCCTACTCTGCATCCCAAAATATTTATAGAGAGCAATATTTTAACTTTCCTTTAAATATTAAAAATGTGCAAGAGGAGAGGTAATCTAGGTAACATATTTACTAATACTTAACCATCCTCTGAACCTATGGGAAATAAAATACTTTGTTTTTATAAATTACTAATTATTTTCGTTTCAGGGTATGACTCTCTTTCTCATTAATAAAAAAGAAACGCCATCTAGGTATTTGAACAGGTATCTGAAGTTATGTCCATTTCACAGTGATGGAATAAAGTCCATTTAAAAAAATAAGAACAGGGGCCGGCCCGGTGGCACAAGCAGTTAAGTGCGCGTGCTCTGCTGCAGCAACCTGGGGTTTGCCGGTTCGGATCCCAGGCGCGCACCAACGCAACAGCTTGTCAAGCCAAGCTGTGGCAGCGTCCCATATAAAGTGGAGGAAGATGGGCACGGATGTTAGCTTAGGGCCAGTCTTCCTCACCAAAAAGAGGAGGATTGGCAGATGTTAGCACAGGGCTGATCTCCTCACACACAAAAAAAATAATAAGAACAATTTATTTCTTCAAAATATATCATAATATATTTCTTGTAAGCCTTACAAAATATTAACTAACATATTAGTAGTTTAATATAGTCATAAAAGTTAGAAAAAGAAGTTGTAATAACCCAAGTGATTGAATCAGAGTCACTTTAAGGGTATCTCATTAGATATTAAAGATCGATAAAACTGTCAAGTTTTAACTATTTTTTATCATAAATAAAAATGGCTTTCTCATTTCTTTCTAAGAATGAGACCATTTCTGAACATTGTATATTAACACAAAAGTCTAATAAAGCTGAACCCTCAAGAAATGGCTTAGTACAGAAAGCAGTCTAATTTGTTAAGTTCTGTTCTTCCCTTTCATCCTCAATAAATGTTGGTATTTTTCACTCCAAAACATTTAGAATTCATCCTTGTGTTTTTCAAATGAGCTCTTCAGTCAAAAAGGATTAAATATATAAAACCACCACAAAGAAAAGCCTACCATGAAACCATCTTTGTTTTTCAGGCTCATTTTTTTTTTTCAAGCACTACCTGTTCACTGTGGGAAACTGCCCTACATACATGAAATGTAGTTTAGGCCATAAAACATCCTTTCATCTAAAGCCCAAGTCCCCCAGAGTTAAAGTCCCTTCTTGCTATGTCAGGCACTGTGTTGGGAGCTGTACACCTTCACAGGAGGGCTGTCAAAATCTGCCAACTCCAGTTCTCTTGGTAAAGGGAAAAGTCAGCATAGGCTGGCAAGGATGCCTGTGGAATGCCCTTTATATGTTTCTCCAGCACTTTCTAACAATAAAACAAAAAGCATTTATGTGAGTTAATAAAGTCCTCATTTAATATACCCTGGATGGGCTGAACTGTCAAGTACTCATGCCTTGTATTGCATCTTAGATAACGCCGGCTTGGCTTTGCTTACATTTATCTCCCACGGAGGAAGCCCTCCTGGATGTTTTAATAGGAGAAATGGGAGGAAGCTGGGAAAGGAATGAGTAATTTTAAAGAACTTTGGCAAAAAATTATGCCTGGGGGTACCGCCAGAGTTGGTGGTGATGGTAGATCTTTGGAAAGCCTGAAAACTCTGGTTTAGGAGAGAGACAGGAGCCAACACAACTTGCAAAAGTGGAGGCTGCTGAAAGGAAACAGGAAATAGGAAGCAGGAAGGAAATAGGAAGCCAGAACTGAAACTTACTGAAAGGAAAATTGTTCGTCTTGGGTGATTTTCTCATAATGGAGGGAGAGACGGAAGCAGGGATTCAGTTCTTATTCTAAAATAAAGAGTTCACTGTGCCCAACCAGCAAAATAAACATAGCCATTCTCACCTTTGTGCCAATTCCCAGCATAAGTCAATGGTGTTTAGAATCAAGGCAGGCAATAAATCTCCTCAGTCAGTAAACACTTGTTGATTTTTTACACTTCACTGGTTCTAAGGGAGCAGGTCATACCAGATATAGTCCTTTATAGTTGAGACGGACCATTGTTTGCTGTTTGATTTCCTGAAATACTCCTATTTTGAAGGTACTGTATGGTAGGTATTTTTGTAATATAAGTGAATTTGTAATATAAGTGAATCACATTTTGTTTAAGGGCTTTTCAAAATAAATATTTAGCACCCATTGAAACAAATGGAGACAGGGTTCTAACAAAATTAGGTTTTGGAATTGCTGCAAAAGTCTACCACAAAAACATTCATTGCAATATTCCTTATAAGACTAAAAAGTCTAGAAGCCCTGAATGTTTCTCATAAAATGGAAAATCTACAAGCAACCTAAATGCCTAATAACTGAGCAATGACTAAATCATGGTACAGCCACACAATGTAGTATTCTTTATTCACCAAAAATCAGTCATAAATTACAAATGGCAGCAAGGAATTATTTGCAATATGATATGAAGTAGGAATTATATGTAGATAATGTGTATACATGTGAACAGAGGACACAGAAAGAATTATCCGAAAATGAAAACTTCCTCTGGATGGGTTGGGAAGCTGTGCTTCATCGATGGAAAAGCAGGGAGGCAATGAGAACAGGAAGAGGCTGAATTCCATAGTGAGTGCGGAGATACTATTCACTCTCTGGCCTGGGATGAAGAATCTGTCCCCTCTTCCCACCAGTGAGGGGAGGCCCTGGGGGCAGGAAGAGGGGCAGGTGGGGCTGCGGGCTCTACCTTGTAGTAGTCATACAGCAGGCCAAGGGCAGCAGCACTGTCCTCGTCACCATTAATGCTCATCATCGCCTTCGTGGCCGCCGTCAGGGGATTCTCCAGATACGACTTCCAGGCTTCATCTTCACTGGTGTAGGCTCTTCGAGTATTGAATGGAGGGTCACTGGGCATCGGCACTAAGGCCACCAGTCGTTTATTACTGTGTAAGCAAGAGAAATGTGAGGTTCATTATCAAAGAAACATTCCTTTTCCCACTAAAAAAAATGCACAATATGGTTAATTTGTACTTTCCCAGAATGGAGAAGGGAAGATTACAAATAAGTGACTGCCACATTGCATTTACAAAGCCACTGATTTATTTTTTCACCGTGTATGAGAAGTAATAATGAGCTTTAAAAGGTTGTATAAGTAGTGTAAGTTGGTCCTCTTCACACTGTTTTTCCACATCCAATCATTCTAAGAGCCAAATCATTTTATTTAATTATTCTGCATTAAAGAATATTAGAATATTCTGTGAGGGAGCAGGTTTCATTTAACTTGCTGAGTTCTAATTATAAAAACATACAATATATTAAACATAATACATTAATGATAATTAAAAACTATTTTATCTACACTTGAAATTGCTAGCGAATTATAGACCAATCCAAGTCTCTTAATTAAAAAAGGCAATATAAGCTACTTTGCAAACAAAGTATATCACAGATATGCTGCACGGTAATGATACAAAGGAACAGTAATGAGATAGACTCTATATATGAATCCTGTGTTGCCACAGGATCCTACTATATTTAAATGATATGGAAGCTACAGGTTATAAAAATTTATCGTGGAGAGTGAGGAGTAAATCTGGAGAATTTTCAGTAGAAACAGAAAAGGGTTGGAGTCAATTATCAATCCTAACCAAGCCAAACTTGGGTAAAGCAGCAATTGACAAAAAAAAGGCAATTTCTTAAGGACGAAGTGATAATAATTCAGTCCTCATCAGCTCCCCAGGCTTGTTCATTGAAATGGAACCAAAATGGAACAATGATATTGTATTTTAATAACACCTATGTCCACTCATAGTAATATGACACATACGAGTGACAGGACTGGTGAAGGTAACACCTACACTAATCAATGGAAATTCAGCCACCAAGGGCCTTCTGATGGTCATTCAGTTCTAAAAGAGGTCCTGTTTTACTGACACTCCTCCAGGACCTTCCAATGGTAGATGGTCTCTCAGCTCACTCTGTGACAGAGAACTGATGTGAACTCTCAACAAAGACTATTGAAGGCCCTTCATGTGCTGGCATGGTGCCATACATTGGTATAAGGTCAGAAAATGACATTGACATTGCTAAGATATATTTGGGGATGGGGCGGGGGGGAATTCACATTTAGCAGAGTGGAATTCTAGGCTAGATGGTCTCCAGGTCCCTGATCTGAACTCTGTGCCAGTGGTTTGGTGGCACCGATTGGGAAGAAGAAGCGAATAATGACCCAATTGCAAATGAATTGGATTAAAATGGTACAATCAAGTTTCTGGAAGTAAACGAGAAAAACTTGGGTGGAAAGGCTTACTAACCATTAGGCAGTATGATGACATGGAGTAGCATAGGCCCTGGAAGTGTGTCCTAGTTCACCACTTTCAGTGGCAGAAACTGTCTGAGTTTTAGTTTCTTCACAACTTAAATAAGGATAACAATGTCCACCCTACTTACCTGACAATGTGATTGTGAGTATCAAATAAAATAATGGATAAAATAGAGTTCAGTAAACGGCACATGCTATACAAATGACATGTATTACTATCACGGCACAGTTCATTGTTTCTGTAAAGTTTGTGGGTATACCAATTTTTGGTAAAGTTGATTATAATTTAAAAGTGCTAAAGATAATCATTAATTAAAGGGAAACTGAAGTTGTTCATTTAGCAATATTCCATAAGTACTTATTGAGAGTCCAATAGATGCCAGGCACATGTTAGTTGTTGAGGATACAGTGGCGAACAAGACACTGCCCTGTGGCTCATGTAGCTTGCGGTCCAGTGGGGAAGAGATAGTACCACTATTACAGGGGCAATAAATGTGAGAAAGGGAAATGGATGGTGTCATGAGAGTGTATGACAGAGGAGACTAACCTAATCAGGGGATCAAGGAGGAACCAAAGTTTCCACAAAGACCTGAAGGGTAGGTAGGAATGTGCTGGTCAATGTTGAAGTGAGCAGACGTGGGAAATATTTTTTATCATGAAGAATAATTTGGTAATGCAGAATAACAGAATTTTTGACAAAAGGTGCACATTTGTATTCATTTTGGAGAGTCAGCTAGAGAAATTTATATATTCTGATCTAACAGTAAAATAGCATTTCTGTGTTGTACAAGTTACTAATCATGTAGGATAGGGGTGGATTTGGAGACAGATTTGTTGGTGGACTCCCAAGAGTTTATAAGGGGAAGAAATGAGGCCTCTGGGGAAGAGCAAGAAGGCGGAGGTGGTAGGCTCATGTTGCAGCAGGGCTGCCACCGCCCCTTCCGCAGCTGTTCAGTTGGGGCCACTCTGGGTGTCTGATCTGCAGCCTTCACTTAGAGGCTGAAATAGAGGATTCTAAACCCTAATTATTACTCATGAGGGCCCAGGCATCATGCACACTTCCTAAAACGCTCAGCCCTACAGGAAGGAATGAAGACCTTCATGTTATCTGCAGTGACCTTGCCATGAAAAAAGATGAGGATTTTATTCTCTTTCATGCCTGAAAAAAGCACATATTGCTGGTGGAGAGGGAGCGTTAAATATAACACTGGCTAATTTCCAAAAGTGTAGCAGGAAGCGGTAGGCTGAAGAATAAGAGCCAATTCTGGATTTACACTAAGTGGTGTCTTGATTCACTGGAGAGATTTTTCCTTGAGTCTTCTTTCTTCAAGTCCCTACGCCCTCCTGCTGAGTCTCCTGGCTTGCTGATTTCATCTGTTCCCAGCACGAGTGTTCACTCATAAATTTAAACTCATCAGCCTTTCCCCGGTGATGAAATGGTTGACGAATCCTTATGTGATCACTGGAAAGAAATATTCCGGGAAAGCACAACTTTACTAGCTATTTCTTTTCACATTTTTGATGGCCAAAGGAGCCTTTTATGCTCCTCCCTTTAGTTGCATAATGACTTCGTTTTTTTCTTCACAGATTATAATCTCTCCAGTACAGAGCAGTGTTGAATAAACCTTGGTTTAATAAAAACAGAATAATCTCTCTGGTACACTGAGCAAAAATGTAGAATTGTAAAGAGAGGAAATTTTCACAGAATAACTTTTACCAAAGTTTGGACACTTTCTCAGACTGAGTTTCATTTCTCTTCTTTTGGAATGGCAGTTCTAATTCTGCTCTGGTCAACTTTTTAAATATCCTTTGTGTAGCTTTAGGTATTTTAGGTTCTGGGTGGCCTCCAACACAGACTGTAAACAGCAACTATAAACGTGATCCCTGGTCCTTCTTTGGAGAAAAGTTTAGATTAGGACCTGAGCACTCACAGCAAGGCTAAGGCCTCGTTCCATCACACATACAGTAGTCCCCTGTTATCTGCAGTTTCACTTTCTGCAGTTTCAGTTACCCATGGTCAACCACGGTATAAAAATATTAAATGGAAAATTCCAGAAATAAACAATTCATAAGTACTATGAGCTGTCCTGAGTAGCATGATGAAATCTCATGCCATCATGCTCTGTCCCGCCAAGGAAGTGAATCATCCCTTTGTCCAGCATATCTACACTGTATACGCTACCAGCCCCTTACTCACCGAGCAGCCATCTCAGCTACCAGATTGACTGCTGTGGTACAGGGTTCAGTGTAGGGTTTGGTACCATCTTTGGTTTCAGGCTGGGGGTCTTGGTACATATCCCTCACGGATAAGAGGGGCTACTGTATAACCGTTTTTTCTCCGTTTGTCTTCTTTAATCCACTACTTCATTTTGCTGATGTTGGGGGGAAAATGAGAAATGAGTCATCAGCTGAAGTAGTGAAAAATGTGGAGCAGTTATTGCCATTGAGATCAGAACTAACAAGTTAAGAAAAGCTCCAGATCACTCTGCCAGAGGCAACCTACCACTCCCCTGTGAGTATTAACAAGAGTCTAAAGTAGGGATGTTTTGCTGGGGAGAAACATATGCAACTGAGCACATAACGTCTTCATCTCCTAAAAGTTTGTGTAGTAATAGTCAACAAATCCAGACGTATATCCATTTTGCTTGGGACCACAAAATAAGAACTAGGACAGTAAAGTATTCACACAAATTATCACTTTCAATCCATTTCTCACCATCTATTTCTTTTATAACTCCTAGAAGGGCATTGGTTTTTGGTTTGGGGGGTTTTTGGGGGGTTTTGGTTTTTTGGGAGGGAAGTTGTCTTAATCCAGGTGGAAGGTGATTTGGGAGTTGAATAAAGCTCAGTTCTGTCAATTACTGAATTTAGATGAGTTACTTTCCTTCTTTGAGCTTCCATTTCTTTGTCTGTGTCATGATATCAATCTCACAGAGTTGTTCTAAAGGAAAAACTCAGATGTTTACATATGAAGTGCCTGGCACATTACAGATCTTCAATCAATAAGAGTTAGAAGTATTACTTCCCTTTAGAACTGATTCCTAATGACCTCTGCTCAAAATCCAATAGACTGTTCTCAGTTCTTAATTTACTTGAATTTTCTTGGCCATTTACTTTTGTAAAATCTTGCCTTGCCTGGCTTCCAAGACACCTTACGAAGGTGGTTTTCTTCTGTAGCCAATCATCCTTTCCTAGTTTCCATTCTACTCAATTCTCTTCTTATTCCTCTAACTCTGATCATTCCTCGGCCCTTTGCTGTACTCTTGCCATTGATGATTCATATGGCTTTCATTGATCCTTTACCTTAATGACTAACAGAGGTGTATCGCCTGAAAGCAAGTTCTGCACTTCTACTTAGATGTCCTGTTGTCAACTTAAACTCAATGAATCCAAAACTAAGCTAATTATGGTTTCTCAGTTGGGCACTCCTACCCATCACCTGTCCCCCGTCATCTAGAGCCAAATCTTATGTACTGGTTTAAAATATAGATTCTGGAGCAAGACTGCCTGCATGCAAATCCTGGCTGCACCACTCACTAGCTATGTAACCCTGGACAAGTTAGTCAACCTTTCTGTGCATCAGTTTCCTCATCTGTAAAGCTGAGATGTACCCTAAATGAG